CTAATGACACTGTACGTGCATTTGGCCGAGGGATTGCTGTTGGCGCAAGAAGAAATAAAAACAATCAAGACTGTAGATAAGGGGACTGCAAAAGAGACGAGTGAGCATGAGTTGCTTTTAGAGACAAGCCAAATTAGATTGTGTGAACTGATGGGCGCAGGCCGTATGTATAAGCGAGAGAGAGACGCAGTGACCAATTTCACACGGGTTGGAACTCAAAGTCTGGGAGCTGCAGAGCTTTGGAAGTGCCATTCGACTTGTTGAGATCCTGACATTTTGTTTCCTTGGGAAGATGACATCATAAAGACAAGATTTCGACATCCTGAGATAATTTATCATCGGATGACTATATCCTGAAAGTTGGATGACGACACCCTGTGTTAATTTATCATGGGATGGCGACATTGTAAAAGTGATATAATGACATTATTTGTCAATGGGTTCATTGACAAACCACCTTGAAAATAGGTGGCTTGAGAAGCTAGTGTTTTCCAAAGCACTGCCCTCCTGTTGCCACACATGATATTAGTTAGACTGATAAAACGTCATGATGTCTCACCGCTTGTTACAAGTAGTGAAGTAGACATTACAATTGGTGGATGTCTCTGGATGACGACATATACTGAGATAATGATTAGCGTCATCCAACCTTCATGATTTTCGTTATCAGGGTGTCGACATCTTGCCTTTATTACGTCATCATCCCGAGAAATAAATGTGTGGATCTCAACAAGTCGGATGGCAATTCCAGAGCTCCGTATGAAGCCCTTCTTGCCACAAATACGTATGTTTTCAGGGATACTGTCTCGGAATGTTGGCCGACGCTTTGCCGCTCTATACTGAGTTTAACAGTTGGGTCGGCATTATGGGGGGTTGGACTCGAAGAAGGATGACCACTTGCGTATCAAGGTTTTCAATCAGGGAACAAGTTTTCTAAATTGAAAACAATCGTCCTTTTTTTGAAGAAACCCTCTCCCTGAATAAAAAAGTGGTTGTGAGGTTTCAAAAAAACGGCATAAATATGTCAATAGAGGGGACTTGCCTCCTGCGTTCCGTTGGATACGTCGCTGGGTTCGACGACACCACAACGAAAACGCAATCAGGATGGTCTGGGCTTAGCCCTGCCCTCTCGGTATCCATTCACGGTATTCTCTTTGCCCACTTGTAGTTTTACCTGATTCTAGTTGCAACTTGCAGCCCTACCATATGTATCGCTATTTACTGTTTGTATTCAACCAGCCACTTGGTTTGCATGTGACAAAAGGATTAGGTAATAGTTACTCAACACAACTGATATTTAACTTCTGGTGGCATTTGGACAATTATTTTGGCAAGCATTTATAAATACAAATTCGAGTTATTAGTTGCGTACAATTTTGGCGAAGTGATCCCTAAACACTAGATTTTATTCAAACTGACTATCAATTTGAGAAATTGTGTATCAATAGTCCATTCACAAAAATTATCAATAACTTTTATCGGTTTTATTATACTATAGGATCCTTTATGACGGAGTGATAGCAACATCAAATCCACTTTTTCATACATTATAGAATCCATATTTTCTTCAATCATGCACACCAATACCCCCAACAAGCAAACTGCCCAACTTCATCATGAGATCAAATTTCAAGTTCTAATATATTCATGTGGCAACATCTAATGCAGGCAGACTGCACTTCAAGTGAAACAGGTCAAGTCGGCACCACGTCGTCTCCATAGCAGATATTCTTTTATTGGCCTTTGGGAGAACCTGTCGAATATTAAAGGTTGGCTTCTGAGTGATTTCTAACGAAGATTGCCCGGGTACCACATTTCGCTGGGCTAGTATCGTCTGGCGTTCAACCTATTGCCAGAACAAGGGATTACACGGCTTTACGCCGCTTCAACGTGTGAACATTCCGTCTTCTGTAATTGGCCAAGACATACCCTCTATATCACACAGCCTTCGTGACTTTGCTGTTCAGCGTAAGACACACTGTAATGTACATTATAATGTGTGTCAGTGTTGCGCGCTTTTAAAGCCTTGAACAGATTATTGGCATCTGAACCTCGCCCAGCCCACGGGCATACTGCATATTGTAATAAGTCGCCTTGGATTTGCTGATACGTGTATTGGTTGTGTACAGCTGTCTCATCAAGACCTATATTCACTACGTCCCTTGTCACATGTAAAAGAAATCGGCCACTGAATACGGTTGAAGTGTTTTGCACTTAAAGGGAATAGATATGCAAACCAATTTCTCTCTGCACACAAAAAAAAATTTACGAAACAACATAGTATTGCTTTTTTTATATAAAAAAATGGCATAGACCCAAAATTTGCTGTTGAGCTAGCTCGCCAATTGCTGAGGGAGGAATAAAAATTACAAACACTTGAAAGTGAATTCATTTGCCATAAGGGGTAATAATAATTGGAACCGTGTCTTCCTAAATGACGTCAGGCCAAACGGGCGATTCACAATAGCGCGCCTCCAAGAGTTTGCAACGCATTGGCCAATCACAATGCGCTATATCTGTCGACCCTTTCCAAACGCGCATTGGGTTGACAGATTTTGGGCACTGTGATTGGCCAACGCGTTGCAAACTCTTGCAGGCGTGCTGTCGTGAAACGCCTGTATCAAAGAGGTTTGCAACGACCTTGTTGAAATTTCATTTCCAGGCCCCACAGTCCACACTACTCATGGGCAGACGGACACTTTCTGTCAGAGGGCTTCATTCCAGCGAAATCTTTTTGCAATCCCGTTATTACCCCTTGAAAAAAAATTTGGGCGGTCATTTGTCATTGGACATGCAGATAATCATACGTGTTCAATATGCTGACTGAGCCTTTCGACTTGTACGCCACGTATAGAGATGACGGGCTTTCAAAATCTTCCGTTGGAGGTACACGTTACCATCAATTTGATATTGTTGCTCTGCAACAAGCAATGAACCACCTGCAGAATATGGCAAGCGTAATGTTCAGGTCATGCCACGCTGTATATACAGCGGTGTCGTACATGTACATGCATGCTGGTCACGCGATACGCTCACTGTAATCGTTGCAACAAGCTGCCGACTACGATGCCTCAGCGCGGCGAGGGCGACTATCGAGTATTGATACAAGCTGCCCACTCTGTTTATCTTACCGTGGTTCTACCCTTCTTACCCTTACCCTTCTAACAAGCTGGGAAAAATTGCTCATTTTTGGCAGTATTTGCCATGTAATTACCAGCGCCCATACGTTTACTGCTCTTTTTAATGTGTGCAAATAGTGCCGTAATTAGATACTTGTTTGCGGTAAGTTAAATCAGCCTTTCACTTGAAATGGAGACAGTCGCGTCGGTGTCCTAAATCAAATTTGATTGGGTGGAACTCAACTTCCCATAAAGTGGACACACAAACACTCCCTTTCCCCTACCCTCGACTACATACACTTACCTCTCCGGAAGTCACGACGAGCATATGCTTTTCGTGAAATTCGATCCACGTCAGCGTCGTTTGCTCGTTCAACTTTTTCGTCTCGAACCCTACATTGATTATGTTCGGTCACGTACGTGTCGGGCGAGCACAGTTGTGCGACAGGGCTGGAATAACATGATCTGCTGCTGTTGGTCATGTTTCTGTTGTAATTATAGCAGCCACACACATCAACGGCAAAGTGGAGGCCATGTTTCTTCTCATGCTATGGAGAAATATGGACAAACAGTTAGTCAGAGGGATTTGGTAATAGTTGCCCCAAAAATGTTTTCCTTTGGTTAATTATTGTATGGCCAGTGCCCGGTAGATTCATGAAGAAAGAAATGATTCTGTCGTAGGCCTATGTGCTAAAATTTGACTCTGCTGTGTTTTAGCCAAAGGCTCTTTTCCCTTACATAAAACAAATAACACCCACGTGCGTATTAGTCAGAGGAACAAAAATGAAATATCACGATTGTTTTTGAGATAGAAGCATTTAACATGTTGACTGCCGACTACGAGTATACTCAAATTAGGCTAACAGGTGTACCGGATTCTACCACTACAAGTATGCTGGGAGAAAATGAAAGGCTTTTGTATTGTGAATGGAATACACTGGCATCACTGATAAAACAACAAATAAGCTGCTAGCAGTGGTGACATACATGTGCATCTATAAAATGTTCATGTTCAAATAATATTTTCGTGTTTTTGCCGTTAGAAATAAAATGGGAAATCGGCAAAATTTGAAATGTCCTCTCACCTTGTTGACTTTATTTTCATTCAAGAGTGAATGAAGATATTAGTATGACGTCAAAATAGCTTTACATTTTGTCGTGTGGATTTTCATAAAGATTTGATTACACTGGTGTATCGGGGCAGGAGGGAACTTGCCTTGCCTCTGGTGACATTTTCAAAATAATTAAATAGCCAAGTGAACCGAAAAACGAAAACATTATAAATTCACCCGGCCCAAAGCAGTTCGATCAATCAATAGTAATCAATGATCAATCAATGTTATAAAAAATGACTAAATAGCGAGGGTGAAAGTTTTTTTTCCATTTTCTTTTCATTTTTAAGAAAACTGGTACATGACAAGGTGTTTTCCGGGGACACATTTTGCCCGAAGCTGTTTATAAAAACCCAGTGGCTTTCAAAACGTCAAAGTGAACAAATTGTTTTGATTTCTTGATAGCTGTGATTTCTCATTACTCGCATTGTTTCATATGATTGTTCTGATTTCTTGATAGTTTATTTTGTACAATTCATTTGGGTACATGGTATTCCTTACTGTCAGCACTTGGTGGCGTCATTTTGTAATAATCAATGTGGCAGGGACGGCTCAGTGCACTTAATATTCAATACAATGTCAACGGCAGTCCAAACTTTTAAAGAATATAATATAGGGTGTATATTGCATAACCAGTATGGGGAATCAAAGAAGTTCGTCATCCCTTTGCCAACCCACGAGGTAACTCGTAGCTGGCATAGTGGAATGACCAACTTAATGCCATTGCCAGCTACGACTTATTTTTTAGATATTTTTCTCAATAGAGTATTTAGGAGTGAACGTCTCTGTCTCCCCCTACCCCCTCTCTCTCTTGGAGTATGACGACTTCGACTGTGTCGTTCATGGTGGGAGCATCGTTTGCCACTGTGGAGACAGCAAAAGAGAAGGGTGTGGGTCTGAGGATCGGTGACTGAGGCAGCCCTAGCACAATGCTTTCGACTGCGCTCAGTTGTCTCCTGAGCCAAATGGTCATCGATGAGGGAAGCGGAACCTCTGACGGCAGATCTCCACCTTTAGTGGTCGCTTGTTCAGTCCTCCCAGGAGTCGATGTCGATTGCACAGGCCTTCAGATGTCTTTGGAGACAGTCCTTAAATCTAAGCTTGAGCCTGCTTCTGCTTCTTACGCCTTTGATCAGTTTACCAAAGAATACAGCCTTGGGAAGCCACGAGTCTTCCATGCGGACTACATGGCTGCTCCACTGCAGTCGGCTCTGCTTGAGTAGTGCAGCAACACTGGGGATGCCTGTTCGTCTTCTTACCTCCACGTCGCTAATCCTGTCTTGCCAGTGGATCTTGAGGAGATGTCTTAGCTGATACATGTAAACGAGCTGGAGTCTCTTGTGGCGTCGGTACAGGATGTAGGTTTTAGAAGAATATAGAAGGCAGGTGAGGACCACTGCACGATATACCTTGCACTTGGTTGTTAGCCAGGTATAATGTTTCTTCCAGATCTTAGACTGGAGCTTCCCACAGGCTGTTGTGGCTGCACTGATGCTCCTCTCCACTTCTTTGTCCAGGCTGTTGGACTGTTCTGCCGAGGTAGGTAAAGCTGTGCACAGCTTGAAGTCTTGAAGTTGGTTTCCGTCAAGAGACAGCTCAGGGTCAGCGTAAACAGTGTGTCGATGAGGTAGGAGCATGACCTTAGTCTTTCTGGTGTGGATGGTAAGGCCGAGGCTTTGAGCGATCAAATGGAAGGCATCAAGCATGACTGGAGCTCAGCTTCAGAGTGTGACACTATGGCAGAATCATCTGCATAAAGCAGCTCTCGAGCACAGACGGTTCTGGCCAAGGTTTTGGCCTTAAGACAGCCGGTGTTGAACAGCTTTCCATCTAAACATGTACTGAACTAAACACCGCCATGCTGTGGGCACAGTTCTGGGACAGCACTGAGGTAGATGGAAAAAGGGAGAGAGCCAACACACAGCCTTGCTTTGACGCCTTGGTTCACGATGAACGGGTCTGAAAGTATGCCGTTGAGGGAGACTTGGGCCATCACGCCAGTGTGAAGCTGAGAGATGAGGCTGACGATGCCTTCAGGACAGCCATAGCGACGCAGAACAGAACAAAGACACTCCCTGTTCACCGTATCAAAAGGTTTGGTAAAGTTGATAAATACGATGAACAAGGTTACGTTCTGTTGATGGTTTTTTTCTTGCAGCTGGTGCAATGTGAAGATCATATCGATCGTTGATCTGGAGCTGCGGAACTGCGACTCAGCGAGAACTGCGTTGAGGATGGTTTTGATGCGCTTCGGAATCACTTTGCCAAGCACTTTGCCAGCGGTTGACAGAAGTGAAATGCCTCTGTAGTTGCTGCAATCTTGCTTGTTGCCTTTCTTCTTGATGATGGTGATGACGGCAGCGTCCTTGAACTCCTTTGGCACAGACTTCTCATTCCAGATAGCTCAGAGGACGTCATGAAGAGCACGAGTGATCTGTTCTCCTCCATTCTGGTAGATCTCTGCTTGGATTCCGTCCATTCTTGGGGAATTATTGGAGGCAAGGCTTCGTACGGCCGTCACACTTCATCTATGAGCAGAGGACCATCAGCACTGAGAAGCACTGGACGCTGGGCGATACTGTCAATAATCGAGATATCAGCGTTTGGTCTTTGGTTCAGGAGCTTGGCAAAATGTGTCTGTCATCGTTAAAGGATATCACCCTGTTCAGTCAGGAGGGTAGTGCCATCCATTTCAAGCAGAGGGCTGGACTGAGTTCCTCCATGGTAAGAGACGGTCTTCAGTGCTTGATAGTAGCCTCTGGTGTCTCCCGTGTCTGCTATTTTCTGGATTTCTTCAGCTTTCTGGTCCCACTACTCGTTTTCCATGTCTCTGAGCTTACGTTACGTCACTCTGGTGAACTCAGATCTGGATCTTTTGCAGCTAGGCTTGGCGAGACAGGCCTGGCAGGCTTTGCTTTTGTCCTTACGGAGCTCTGAGAGGTGAAAGTCAGAGTCATCGAATCAGTCCCCATTCCTAAGCTTTTGGTTCCCCAGTACTTCTTTCGCAGCTTTGTAAGGGCATGAGCTGAAGTTCTGCCACTTAGCAGCAGCGGTGGAGTTGGTGGCCTAGCACTGGATTCCTTGAGTCGACTGACGGACGTTGAGCTTCTTGCTTGGGCCAGGGAGTAAATCTCTGTCTATTCCAGTGGATGGAGACCTTGAGTCGGCACCTGATCATGTAGTGATCAGTACCACATTCTTAGCCTCTCATGGACCTAGTGATGCACATATCACTGTTCTTGTTCTGACTGATCAGAATGTAGTCCGGAAGATGAGCGTGTCCAGATCGTGGGTGTCCCAATGAGAAGAATCGATGAGCAGGCACGTTGAACAGGGTGTTGGTCACTGGGAGTGAAAACTCGTTGCACAGCTGCAGTAGGAGCTCTCCGTTGCTGTTGTAAGATCCACGTCCAAAATTACCGAGGAGGCTCTTGGTTATACATCTTGGTTGCGTTGGCTCTGGCGTTAAAGTCTCCAAACACCACAACTGTATCTGTGCTGGGGGTGTTCTGTAACACGTCTTTGAGTTGATAGTAGAAAGCAGCTATGTGCACAGGGTCGTGAGTCATCGTCGGAGTGTACACACTGACCAAGGTAATTTGTGTGGTTGGGGAGATGGCAAGACGTTGGGTCACTAGTCGATCAGACACCTGGGAGAGCAGCTGATCAGCAATGGCAAATTGCTGATCAGCAATTGCTGTAGCCTTAATCCCCTGGAGTTGCCAGACCAGAAGAAGGTGTCTACGATGTCTACGCCAAAAGCATCGAGCTCCTTGCCAAGCAAAGCAGTTCGTCTCTTTGGGAGGTTGGGGTTATTATCGAGGAGGGTTCGCACGTTCCAAAATGCGATCTGTAGCTTCGATTTGTGGTTTCTGCCACTGAGGAGAACCCGCTGACCGTGGGCAGTCAGCCAGGTTGATTGAAGGGTGAGCCTTTTAACGTCAAGTTTTCTAGAGGCGTCCTCGGATTGAGGCAGGCGGGGCATCCCTTGTAAAACACCGCCTGATCGCCCAGGAAGGACCTCACAGCACTCTCACCCGTCAGAAGCTATGCAACCATCACTCCCGCAAGTTCTTGCTACCAACTTACAGCTTCTCAAACCTTCCTGCACAACAAGAAGCCGTATCGCTTTGCGACTTGGCGTTGCCAAATTGGCCTGCACAAATATTAGGTGAGGGGAGCACTCTGCGGGTACTCTCCCACCCTCTGGGTCATGTGGCTGGAGAATCAAGTGGCAGAACGAAGAGCCAGACGACTTAGCCAGCAACTTGACTACCCTGCAGTATCAGACTTATGATGCTGATAATCTCGCCCAGCTGCTACTTCAAATAGGTAAAAGGCACCTGGCCGAAGTCCTCCTGTCGCTGCTCCAAGATGTTGAAAACGGCAGAGAGGAGAACTATTACCTGCTGCTGGGGCTTCACTATTTAACCCATAGCTTGGGCAAGGAGGCCTTTCTTGGTGCAACTTATACTTTCTTGGTAATTTATGTCTCTGCGAAAGTTGGAGACTCGGACTTTGGGCCTACCCAAGAGCACCCAAACGTGTTTTAATTCCAAACACAAAACTTCAAAGTGAACTTCGACGATTGATTTGCAGTTCCGTGGTCAAAAGAGGAATCCCCATTAATTCTTACCAAACGTTCCCTTTGTCTCATGACAGTTAAACCATATCAAATTACCAAGGTGCCTTTCTTTTACATGCAATAGAGAAAGGTTTCAGATTTTTCTTTAGCGTTCTTCTGATTGTCTAGAGTTGCGCGCACATTTTGTGTCCCAAGTGGCACTTGATGTCACAATTACGTACGTCCGCGCCATCCAAGTTATGATGCAGTGATCTCACGTGGGTGGTCAGTGAGATCACGTGGTTTGCATTTCAAATAACCTTTCCTCTAAGACTAAGAGGGGCGGTGCAAGTTTGTATGTTTAACAATTATTAGTTATCCAAATCGATCAATTGCTCGCAGGCAAACAATTATTCGAAACTTCTTCTGAGTAAAGTTGCTCATCTGAACATGATCTTTGACGCCATCGTCAGTTTTTTTTATCCATTTCAAGCGTTTAAGCAGGTGCCACTAATGGAATTTTGTTAATAAAACTAAGGTAGTTTCCAATTCGATATGTTGCTTCGCACACTTTTTCAGAAAAAGAAAACGGATCAAACACTCGACTCTCAATGTATAGCGTCATTATAATTAGCTTCACACAGACTGCATTGGGTTGCGAATGGTGAATATCTGTTGGCATTTGGGTATGTATCAATATTCTGACGAGAATATGTACATGAACAGCGCTTTCTATATTGCCTTGTCTGTAGTCCTTGTGTGAAGTGGTGATTTACGTCAGCAGTTGTTATGGGAATGGGGAGGTGTGCTTAATAATTCATGTGATCCAACACCAGATAAAAGACGCTAGAGAGGCACGAATAGCCAAAAATGGCTGGAAAGCTGGATTTTTTTGGTAATGTATCAGCCTCATGGTACGTAATAGCTACTGGATCTCGAAAGAAATTTATTCTCAGCAGAAAGTCAAAGCAATGAAGGTTAGCCAGACATTATGGGTTTAATTTTAATCGGCGTTTTGTATTTGTATGGGTATCCTGAGGGACAGACGTCTATTTTATTAAACAGTTTACTGTGGGTGTAATTTGGTGTTGATCATCACTGCTCGGAACTGTTGCCATACACAGAAAACTTAATATGTACCTGATTTCTAGATCCTAAATATCTTAAGTAAATAAACCCTTAATCAACCAGACCGCTCTGTCAGCAGTTTTGCAAATACTGATTCAACCCAGTGGACGAAAAAAAAAGAGACCCTGTACAACAACATTTTGCAGACAGGGGATGGGAACTTATGAAGGCAAGGATATCATCTAGAGACTGAGGTTTGGAAAAGTGAAATAGGCAACCAAATGAGGGTGGATAGTCCTGTAATCTCGGGAGAATCAGTCCGAGTCGCTGTGACACTACTAGTCTTTTAAAAGCTTATATCAAGTTTGGACTTCGGAAGCGAGATTACATTAACATCAGAACTAGGCAGTGACAGTGTCTGTCTGTGCTGAGGTCGATTGCATGGGAGGTTGTAAGACAGACGGCTATTTATATCCAAAGACGGTTGTAAGTTGGCTAAAAGCCCGCCCGTAGTGTCGATCCCAGTGTTCAGTGCAGGCCCTGCAGCTAAACGCTGCCTGACGCTATTGGTCGGAGATCGATCAACGACAAGGGCTGGTGTAGTTTAGTCCTCCCTTTCACCCTAAGATTCTCGAGAAATGGTCGCCACAAAAAAGTCGTTTAAACGGACGGACAAATAGATTTCCTTCCCTTTGATGCAGCTGGGCGAGGGGTCTTAATTCGTCGGTTTCTCTTTTGCTCTCTGAAATGTCTAAAAGCCTCTTATTGTGAGGAAGTGCTTTTCTAGCCGGCTGTGACACGGTCTTCTTAGAGAAAAGTTGGATGTCAAATGACAGAGGCTTAATGGATGAAGTACTGGCCGGTTGTGATAATTCTGTTTATTGATGTTTTGTTTGCGGTTTTGATCGTGCATGCTGCCCACCATCGGCACTTTATACCGCGTGGCAATTTATCAACAGTTGCACTTCCCACGGCATTTGCAGCAGCTTGATTAGATTTGGCGAGTGATAAACGGCCCTTGTTGCAGTACGTTAGAGATCATCATCGCTGATCCTGAAGTTGTACAAAGGCTTGAGTTGAGAGTTTTCTTCTGAAGCCGAGTATAGCTTGTACATTATCGCAGATACTAGATCACAGGAAATGCGCTAGGACGGTATCTAAACCCGCAAACTTTAGGCTTTTCTGAATTTTGGTGTTGGCAGGTTGTGTACTAGCTCTTGGCTATCCAGACTATTATTCTGAAATTTTAGAGAATTAGTTTAGTTATTAGACTCTGGCTGTAAATTTGTAAATTCCCAGGCAAAATGAGCTGCAATGCTTGAAAACTACGATTGTAATTTGATATACTGTAATTTTGTAAAGTATCTGTATTACATTGCACCTCTTGTCCAGTATTGATAACACCAAGAAATGAAATAACACCAAACCCTCCATTATTTCGCAGTGTATTAAAATGCGATGTCGGTTACATCAGTTGTTAATGATTTTATGGATACCTTCAGCTAGCCTACTACAGAAGTTTTGTGGATATCTGGACAGAATATCAAACTATCTGGCAAACCAGCAAATTGTTTCCAAGTTTCTGGAGGAACCTATGATGGTTTAATTGGAGCTCCACGCTTCATTGGACACCCTGTTTATGTACATACATATATATGCCAAACACTTTGACAGTAAATCTCCTGGAGATTTAACAGAGCATTAAAAAATCACTTAAATTAGAAACTAATAGCAAAAATGTTTTAATGGTATTTTCTGAAGAAAGAACTGAACAAAGTCAGACATCCTGACACTTCTTGCCGTCGAGACCATATTTGTGCATACGTGAATAATTATGAATTTATTTGTAAAGATGTCTATTGTTGATATAAGTATAGCGACTAATCTGTGCAGGAACGCATGGTTAAAATCAGTAATGCGCAAAAACCAAAAGGCTCCCACCAGTGTGCTAGGCGAATGTTAGACTTTACTCAAGTCGGGATCTCTGTGACATCTTCGTTTCTGTTTTGGATACATGTGGAGACTGCTCACCGTTACTAGCTTTGCGCCCTCTTGTTCACTTATTACTATGAGTTCAGTTCAGAAATGTTGACTTGACGAATCTGCCAACCGTTTTTACGCAGCGAATGGACTCATCTACCAAAAAGTGGTAGCTGCCAATCACATTGCCGTACTTGTTTTCCTATGAACGAGTCTACAAGTCTGACTACTTTGGTGGAAATTCCCTATACATGATGCAAGATTATGTCGTTCATATGCAATTATGAATAACTACATATCACCGACGGGGGTCCGATTGGCTTATCCGTCAAGTCGGACTTACTGACCGGTGACGTATGACATGCGTCGTACAACAAAGGCTATCAAATGAGGGCGCTGTATAAGAGTTTTGCGAGCTGCCGCGCCCAGCGCGACGATCGTGTAGTGCGTACCAATTGCTGGGATGGCTGACTAGGGCAGAGCAAACGTAAGTCCGACTTGATTCAAGCCTAGGCGAACGTCAAGTCAGACTTTCTCTTCGTCACCGGTGAATGGGTGCATTCGTTGTAGGCGTTCATGATTTCACTCGGGTTTAACCTCGTCCCCACCGTCTCGCTTGTTTGACACAGCAGGCGCGGCCTCTTCCAAGGTCAGGGTAGCCTCGTGTGAGCTAATCGAACGCACCCATTTCGAGCATAAGCTATTTCTGGCTTTAAGTTGCTCAAGCACTGGCTGCCACGATTTTCAGTGGTGTTTCCTTTTAAACCTCCTGTTCTCGTTATTAACCCGAACCAAGGAAGCTGCACACAGTATGAGTTCTTGCACCAAAACCTTGTACTCGTCACTTTTGTACGTTTATTTTACATTAATTTACCTAATATTTACACCTAAACAAGAAACAACGAGATAACATGCAAACAGAAACTACAATGAGGCTTTTTAAAACTTGTTTTGAGA